CCCCCTAAAACAAATCCCAAGATTTCGCCCCCCCCGTTTTTTAAGTTCTTATGTTTTTTTTTTGCGAGGGTGTAGGGGAGCCCCCCCCGACTCGAAACCTACCCCCTGCTCCCAAAACCCCCTCCCCGATCGGCCACGGCCTCAACCGAAAGTTCTCGGCCAGAGCGGCCGCCGCCGGGGGGGTCCCGTCCATGGCCGGCGGCCGCGGCTACGACCGAACTCGGCCGCGGCCAGGGGGAAACATAGGTAGGGGCCACCATTTTGTCGAACGGTAGGCAGTTGCCAGAAGCTAGGCCTATAGTTAACTTCCTCGCAGCCGTCAAGCGMGGTGCCCTCATGTACGCCACCGTCCTGCGAGATGGTTCAGTGCCCGAGACGGCACAGATCGTTCTGAGGAGGTGGAAGGCCATTTTCCGGTCTTTCCCTCCGAAGGACGTGTTKGCCATTTGCACGGACTCTGCGGCGAACTATACGTCGACAACAAAACTCCTTGCAAACGACCCCGATCCGCAGGTCCGCCGTATTACTTGGCTCCCGTGTTCCAGCCACGTCGCCAACTTGATGTTGTTTGACATCGGGAAACGGGTTCCTTGGGTTACGGACACCATTTTCAGAGCTCGGGTGTTGGTGCGACTCATTAAATCGCACAGTGCAGCTTATCACCTTTTCAGGGTGAAGAGTCGTCGCCGCACAATTGTGCACCCCGTGGAGATGCGATTCGCGTCCGTTTTTTTTATGTTTGTGTGTTTGCTCGCCAGGCGTAATGCCTTGGAGAGCATGCTTCATGACGAGTGGGACAAGATCCCATGGGAGCCGTCGAAGCGTAGACAGGCTCTGTGGGTTCGACAGGTCATCTGGTGTGCCGATTTCTGGCGCAACGTTTACCACGCTATCGCTGTCATGACCCCTGTCCATCAGCTGTTGAGGAGGTTGGACAGGGGCGGCATGATCATGTCCACGATTTACTCATGGTCGAAGGAGTTGGTACGACAGGTGGCTGCTGTTGACGTCCCTAATGACATGCGGGGGCCGTGCGTGGAGGCAGTGCAGATCCCCACCATGCATATGCTTGAGCCTGCGCACGCTGCTGCGCACCTGCTCAACCCCTTCACACGCTCTCTCCGTCACTACGAGTCCGTCCGCAGGACAACTGTGGACCTCGAGGTAGTTACCGAGTGCGACTCGTTTCTGTTAGCGCAGACATGCGGTGATCCGACGGGGGATACATACTTGCGGTTGCGGGAGCAAATGCGTTCCTTCCACGCTAGGATTGGGCACACGACAGACAAGGGGACGAGGGATGCCGAGGCGGAGGCCTGTATCGGGGATGAGGAGACGAGCAGGTGCACGTCCTGGTGGGAGGAGCACGGCTCATGCTTCCCGGACTTGCAGGAGATTGCTTGCCATGTGATGCACATGTGGATGTGCGCTTCTCTTGCTGAGAGGAATTGGGCAGAGCATGAGCGCATCCACATGGCCAAGCATAACAAGCTCGAGTTCAGGAAGGTCGAGCAGTTAGTTGAGATTGCTACAAATCTCAAACTACTTGGATGCAGCAAGCGGAGTGGGGGGTACGTTCTTCCGTGGGGTCACAAGGCGACCCTGGTTGAGGCGCAACCAAAGGAGTACACACACCTGGTGGTCGACGACGAGGATGAGGAGGATGAGCCTGAGCCAGAGGAGTGGGGAGCCAGAGCTCAGTCAGCAGTGCAGGCGAAATGAGATCAGTGCACAGGTTCGTCGCTTCCAGCAGCAGGGTGCTCGTCGCCCTGGGGAGTTGCTGAGGTTTTCGGTGCCAGAGCGGAGATACTGCTTCCTTATGACCACGTGMTTCCTCCGCCAGCAGAGCCAGTGCAGGCRTCGGAGGACCAGACGGACACGRAGGGCAGTGTAGATAAGAGTGCGGAGAGACTCGACTACACGTACRGAGGAGGAGCAGATGGATTTCAGCCACGCTGCACATTCATTCAGGAGAGCGACGACGATTCCATCCCCGCCACCGATATAAGGTTGGAGCGTGGACAGCGAGATGCTTCAGGCAGCGTGAGCGGAGTTGTTAGACGTGGCGCGAGTGGAGGTGCTTTAGGCGGGTCTAGTGGTGTACCTTGTGGTGGGTGCAGAGAGAGGGAGGTGACCGGGCTGGAGCGTGGACGACGACGACGATGACGATGAGTCGTTACTGCTTCACAGAGCACGGTTGGCGCGGCAGGGAGACGCGCCTGGCGCTGAGGGTCTTAGGAGATCAACGAGGCTGCAGACGTTGGCCGGATCGACTTCAGGTGGTAGACGCGAGGTGTTGGACCATCCAGACGACATCAGAGCAGAGGCGCATTTGACGAGCCAGCATACACCCACCTCAGCACCTCGAGGCGAYAGAGAGCAGACGGAGCTGCGCACGAGTGACTTTCAGGGCCTTGGACCAGGATTTGCGGGTAGTGGTGTTCGAGGAAGGAATGACGGGCGAGAGAGAGTGGGGGATGAGGCCGAGTATCATCCTATAGAGGGTGGTGGAGCAGAGTCCACATAAGAGTTACATGCCCAGATGAATCGAGAGGAGGAGCATCGGTTGGAGCGGTTGCAGAGAGAGTGGGCGGGTAGAGACGCATAYATGGCCGAGCWGCAGCGTCTTAGGGACYTGGAGACGRGTACTGCAGTCCCTGATGCGGGCGGGGTCGAGCATAGCGTTCCTACAGTCCCACACCCGTTTGCAGCCGACGCAGCGACACCCGACACCCCAGTGCCCGAGACGTCGTCCCAGGGAGATGTCAACTCCGGGTCCACGATGGGAGGAGACTTAGGTGCGTCTGAGTATGGAGATCCGGTCGTGTCCAACGTCATACTTGGACTTTGTGCGGCGGGCACATTGCAGCCTGATCCTCCAGCCACTCAGGAGGCAGTTCCTATGGACCGTGATTCAGGCGAGTTGGATGGAGGCCGCAGACCCGATGCGGAGGGCGATGATGGGGCGGGTGATCCCGACCGTCTTGCGCCTGCGCACAGTGCCGGTTCAGGTCGATCGTCACAGGGGCCGATTGGGGGTGACGCATGTGGACCTGTATAGGGTGATGCACATGTGGACGAGGCCGGAGCTAGTATGTCGTTGGCGTTGGTGTTGCTTGATCCTTCACCGGTGGCGCACGAGGATCCGTCACATCCTGCAGAGGGTGGAGGTGGTGTTGATGAGGAGGGGGAGGGCGGTACAGCACATGACTGTCTTGACCCCGTGAGAGCAGATATGGAGGAGGAGCAGATTACACCGGGCCTACTTCTCCCTGACGCGTTGCACCGTGCACTAGTGGAAGATCCGATTAGCAGGGGACCTGCAGGATCTCTCGGGGCCGGAGTTCGCTCGCCCCCGCTTTACACACCTTTGAACCCTCTGTATTCTGGCTCTCCTGCGAGCTTGGAGCGCGAGCAGCAGCGTTCAGAGTCTATTAGAGCAGCGGCTTCGGGTGCATGTACGACTCGCATCCCCCCAATTACACCTCCTCCACCGACTACGCTCCACGGTACCCCGACAACTGTCATGGGCAGTATTGCCGAGAGAGGCCACATGCCGTCATCGTCGTCGCCTCGCCTAGACACACAGCAGTCGCTTCACCGTCCGTGGAGCACAGTGCGACGAATTGATGATGGCGTGAGGGGTGATTTCGCGGCGCAGCAAGCATGGGTGAAGGAGGAGCAGAGGCCGGCAACGAGTATGCAGACTGCTTATCACATTCTCGGACTGCCTAGATTCGGCGCTCGCAGAGACCTACTTTTAAGATCACGCATGGCCGCACCTACGTTAGACACTTCTAGCGAGGACGATGTGTTGGCGCCTCATGAAGAGTGATCTCACACACGCATTAACGAGATAGAGTTTCGTATTGCTAGGGACGAGGCGCGATTAAGGGAGTTGCACGACAGATTGGACCGCGCGAGGTTGGAGGCGACGCGTGCCTCAGAGGCCGACACAGAGGAGAAGCCCATCGACGTTGTGAGGCGCAGGGAGAGAGAGAGAGAGAGAGAGGAAGATTGGCCGAGGCGGGGACATGTATGACACCGTCGACACGGGGACGACGACGAGCAGGCAGTGGCTGGGGACAATAGATATGTCTTTCTGTTTATCTGGATATTCCCCATGGTTCGGTGCGTTAGTCGTAGTCGTTTTTTTTGTTCCTCATATTTATTTTAGTTTCGCAGATATTTATGTGGGTTTTTTTCGCCTTCCCAGGACTCATGTGTAGTCCAAGGCGTCAAACAGTGTGTGTGGTAGCGGAGGTTCTTTGTGGTAGGGTTTTTATGTCTTCGTTTTTATGAGACATATGTATACTAGTGACAGTTGTTCTGTTTTTTTTTTTTTCACGAGGATGACGTCTGTACATATGGAGAGTATATAGTTTCTTATGTGGGTGGATAGGAGTCATAAGAGGAGTAGTTGTTCGACGATACATTTGTACTTCCGGGGATCTGAGTGCTATATCGCATGTTGTACGGCTCACGCAGCAATTGTATTGGTTTTCCCTGCGCGTTGTATGATTCTGTTGTATGATTCGACACTCACTGTGAGTCGCATAATCGCAGATGTACATTATTGTTTCATACTTCCTATGGATTGTAAGTTTTGTTTATGTGTTCGACAACGTGGTATGTTGTAGTGCATGCATGATCTCACGGTTCCATTGTACATGATGCATCATTTCATAATGTGCGAAATGTAAGACTTGTGTTTCTAAACTCTATGTCATATGTTTTGAAACCATCAGTTTATGTCAACCCAATTGCGCTATGAATAATGTCCCAATATGTTTTACTTTGCTGACTTTTGTTGACTTCTGTATAAATACACAAATTTGGGATGCACGAAACCACCCACCGAGGAGTTTCATCCCCMAAACCCTGAGCTGAAACTGTGTGGAACAAAAAGAACGAAAATCRTCATCACCCCAACCACCACCAACCACACTAACAAACCCCTAAAACACTACAAACCTCGCATACCAAACAACAAGAAATGCCTGCACACGAAAATAATACCCTGTGGCCCCCAAGTGCCCCAACAACCCAGGAATATCAAATCCCACACCATTTTTCACGTCGAAGACAGGCAAAACCTTTGTCACACCCCAGTCATTATGCAACCAAGTTTTTTGGCGGGGAAACTACACGGGAGTCACAAAAACGAGTAGCAATTGTAGTATGGGCCAAGATACACTTTGAAAGTGCACCCCTCTCGTAATAGAACCGAGTTTTTCCTCTGAATACGGTGGCAATCATCGCAATTGCAAACTGTATCTTGACCCATAGTACAATTATAACTCGTTTGTGTGACTGTGTTGAAGTTACCCTTTGTTTTTTCTTGCCCAGCAAGTACCTTACCACGTATCACACAACCCCACAAAAAGAAATCCAGAAAAGGGGAGGGGAGGGGAGGGGCGGGGGGGGAGAAAAAGGGGAGGGGTGTAGTTTGGGTGTTTTTTTGTCACCCTTAAAAGGCAATGAAATCCTACGCCCCCAAGTACATGCACCCTAAAATGACACCCTGCGCCCCCCTAAGGCCCCAACAACCCAACAATTTTGAACCCTCCCCCTAGGCGCAGTGTGTCGTTTTCGGCTGCAGGCCCTTGGCGGGTGTAGGATTCGGTCACCGTCTGAGGGTTAAACCCATAATACCAACTCACCCCCCCACCCCCACCTCCCACCCCCGATGGATATTTGTTTGTTTGTGGCATCACCCTACCACCTATCACACACCTCCACTTTAAAAAAATGAAAACAATGGGGGGGGGGTGTCGAGGGGAGGGGGGTGTTCTTTTGCTCCGTGTTATAGGTTTCACCCTCAAACGGCAACCAAACCATACACCCCCCAACTTCCCCCAAGGGCCTGCACCCGAAAACGACACCGTACGCCCCCCCCAACGGGCCCCATCAACCCACTATTTCAAACCCCACACCTTTTGCCACCTCAACACACGACAAAACCCCCCAACAAATTACACCCTCCCCAACCCCCCAACCACCGCCGGAATTTTTATTTGTTTTTGCCTACACGCACCTTGCGACTTGTCAAACACCCCCGCTTCGAGAAATTTGCTAAATGGGGGGGGTGATTTTTTTTTTCACCCCCACAGGGAACCAAAATTGACCCCCCAGAGAATAGTTTTTTTTTCGGTGCGTGGGCGTAGGGACGCTCATGCGCTGCCGGGAGCCGTTTTAGGATTTTCGAACGGACCTCCCTTTCGGCCGCCACGGCGCCGTGTGGACGCAGTTTTTCGCT